TCCAACAGGTAATAATGTTGTGCGTCTGTGCATTCTAAGTCTTTCCAATGATGCTTGTCTAGCACATAATTGAGTTTAAGTGAAGCACGCTTCCCACTGGACTACAATTACCTCGTGATTTAGGAGTTTTCCAGTGTTTTGCTAGGTGCTTTCACACAGGACAAACAAGGCCTGCTTTTTCTTATCCTGGATTTTCTTTTGTATATTTAGCCAAAATGTCTCAGTAGATAAGCGAAAAAGAAAAAAGTCAACAGAGGAAAAGTTGCTGGAGAGTAGTCAGACAAAGCCTCCCCAGTTGGCCATATTCAACATGTTGTGATAGGTTGTTGTTTTGGATGGTCTCATAAGCACCTCTTACCAATGAACAAGGCTTGTATGGGCATCTGAAGACCTCAGAGGGTAAACAGTAGGTCCTATGAAAATACTGAATCTTGTGCGACTAAAATTAGCAGATTGGTTGGTAAAACTTCATGGCAGGTGTTGGTTTAGGACCTCTGAATAATTGGAAGTATTTGGAGGGGTACCATACCATACATAAAATGGTGCAATGACTAACACAATAAACATGCTAGTTGTCAAAAACAAGGTGCTAAAATTGGATGATTGGATGGATGGATGGATGGATAGATAAAATGTAATGCTATGACGTAGTCATTAGTAAAAGAAGCACGTGCATACTGTATGTAAATCAAACTTCTCATCCATTGTTCTATTTTACACACCCTGGCGGACCTGGGCTAGAGTAATTGGGGGACAGGGGAATCGCGTTTACTACTGTACTGTTATGCTAGATGCTTCTGCTGACTCATGGAGACTGTGCAAAGGCTGCTGGGTGTTTTACAGTGGCTGTCAACACATCGTTTTGAGAGAAGCAGGGCAAACAGAAGCCCTTTACAGAATGCAGACAAATGGCCTGTTCGCATACAATAGAAACAAAAAGTACGGTAAATAGGAGCACTCGAACCACAGCTCTGCCATTTCAACCCACCCTGGCGTGCTTATATCTTTGTGAGTTACTAGGCAGCTGTTTCAGGCCACTTGTTAAATTGAGATTCAACTTAATACTTCCAGACCATTAGGAGAAATACATGCTTATGGGGGCAAATCCAGATACTGTGGGATAAGAGAGGGATAAAGATATACTCCATGTTCTTTCAGATGTCTCTGGATTATTGCCATAGCATCCTTGTTCTTGCACTCCGGCATGCTGGTAATAAAGTCATTAAAAGTCACTGCACTCTTTGTAATTCACTCTAAGTAAAGAGTTGCACCAAATGGCCGAAAGAGAATAAATACAACGAGAGAGGTGTTTAGAAAAGAGTTTTACTGCATGCAAATGAAGCCTCTCCAGCAGCCTCTCTTTCTCTTTCCTTTCCAGCTGCACCAACACCTCAAACCACTGGACGAGGTCCTGCAAGTTTTCTCCCACTATTACCCTGTGATTTACAGCCATGATAGTGGGGAGCTGAAGTTTTGTTGACATTCCCCGCCCCGCACAACCTCAAATACGACACTGACCCCCCCTTTTCCAAAGCTCGTAAATGGCCTGGCTCCGTTGAAAGCGTCGCCGTGACGAGGAAAGATATATGAAAGAAGAGGGAATGCTCCCAAAAGTGAGTTTTCCAGTGCTTTGATGTGAAGACTTGTGAGATGCATGCTACTTTGGAAGTGTGTCAGCGGGAAGTCTGTGTCTAGTAAACAAGGGCAACATCATATTATCTTGTAAAATGTTGGCATGTAGGACTATGACCTAAAAAACTAATCCAATTTCAGGATTCTCTCCCCCCCCCCCCCCAAAGGACTGAAACACTTGTGGCATAAATAAGTGAGACAAAAGCTTTATCATAGACGCCAGAATACTCCCTTCAATTCATTCAATTTCTACAAAGAAACATTACTTAAAGCCAGTTCTGACTGGAAAACAGGCAGTGCTTCAGGAGTGCAAAAACTGCCCACGAGTCTTCGCACCTTAGTGCACATGGAGCGAGTTCATCCGTTTAAAAACCACAAAAATGCTCCGACTCTAATGACATCACTTCACAGTCAGTGAGGGTGTCTGGGCAAAGCTTTGTCTCCAGGCAAAACAGTCAGTGAATGCAATAAGCCATTGATAGCTAGCAAATAAAAGCATTTTATTGGTTATAAATTGTGTCGGACCATTAAACTTTATGTTTTTGAGCCAACAGGAGAGACAGAGAAAAGACATCTGATAGTCCCATTTTGTCTGGATTTAAACTTGTTAACATCCAGTTAAATGAAAGACGTGAGACTTCATTGGGAATATAATGTGTTCTGGCTCTTGGGATGAAAAGAAAATGCTCAGCCTGGCAAAATGTCAAAAATTTGTGTTGAGCTCTTTTGTTTGTTTCACATGCTGTATGTGCAAAAACAGGTTCATACCAGTCCAAGAGAGCTCTGCAGGACTGTTTTTCGAGTTCCCACGTGGTGTTCGTGGGGGAAGATAAATGTAGAGGAGGCCAAGGGGAGGAATGCATTCAAAGCACCCTTAATTGAGCTGGATGGCCTGCAGTCAGATGCAGAGCGTCTCAACAAGGCTGGCGAGATCCTGAGATGTGCCTCACACGTAACACATCATTAAACTGGCTGCTTTGGCTCACAGCTTCACGGTACCAATGCAGAGACAGTGGGAATTTGAAACGAAAGTCCCCTGGCTGTCAATGAAGGGGAAGTGCTCCCATGCTGAGGCCCACTGGGCCGACCATTGAACAGGGGAACATTCCTCAGTAATTCAGTTTGACCTGAACCCAATATTCTTGCTGAGGGTCACCGAATACTGAGCACCACATGCAGGGAGGAGGAAAAGTTGGGAAAATCGGATGTAGAGGAGTGAGAGGCAAAGTGACGGACAAGGGTTGGAGGAGTGAGAAGAAATGTAAAAGCACATGTCAGTCTGATCTGCTAGAGTGGTCTTAATTTGGTTGATTGGAACGGTGTTTAGAGTAGAACCAACACAGGATCGCAACTGGCATGCAACATTTTTTTGTTGCAACTGAAGAACTTTTAACATCCACCCCCTTACAGGGAATTTGGTATTACATGGCTTACAACAACATGTAGGCCATCTTCTGCTGTTCCTGTCTTGTGACTTTTAAATCACAACTGCTCAAATATAGGACACATGATGCAGTATTGGAACGTGTTGCACAAACCGGAACATGACAGAGGGGGGAGTAATAACGTGGGGAAAATGGTTGCTCTGCAGAATGGTCGGGATGGAGAGAATTACAGTTTTAATTCTATAAAATCAAATCCCTGCACTTGGCAATCCTCTTATCCAGTAATCCCCAGGTAGGTTACAGAGGGCAGCAGGCTCAAACTGCCCAGTGCAGCAACACATCTGCCCATGTGGCGGGATGATATGACTGGCTGCTGCTCTGGTCCCTATAAAAGGCTTTCAATGGACACTCTTTGGACAAAAATATGGACCAAATGGCTAAACTGTTGCTTTGGTTAGTCCAGACAGTAATGGTGATTGCTGCTCAAAAACATGCGAAGTAGTCGCATACCAAGGTTCGGTTTTGTTTCACTGTCTGAAAGGCTATAGATTCAAACTTAAAATGTATGCAAACATTATGTTAAGTTCATGCTTTTATTCATGTGGTGCAATCGTGGGGAAGACATTTCCCTCAGGTCATATGTTTCAATGACAAAAACACCAGATCCTACAAGCTTGGAGCAACATTCCTGTTTACCCTGTGGTACGCCTGGAGAACTCACAGTTTGAAGCAACTACAGTGGCAGTTTTGGGACTTCCAGTGGTACTAGTGTGTAACTTTTTTTTTTGGAAAAGGGCAATCCAATGACAGATTTGTAGGGTGTCATAAGGGAACAGTACTTTGGTGTACCATGTTATTTGACAATTGTTGGTTCTTGGGCCTCTCCATCCATTGGGGTTTACAGTCATAAAGCATACTCTACATGGCAGATGCTATTTTTGCTCTTGTGTTGGGAAGCACCAGTTCCCAAGGCAAAAAAAAACTCAAAAAGACAGAGAATGGCATTTCTTTCTGGCACTTTGACAACATCCAGTAAGAGAGTGATGATACCTCCCATACTCTCCCATGCTCACATTTACATGTTTCCTCACAGTTCTGTTTTCAGAGATAACAACTCTAACCACAAATATAATGCCAACATGTCCAGAACACTACATGTGATATCTTTGGTGAGTTGGCTACAACCAGCCTTGCCTCTTTCTGAGCACTATAAATATGGCTGAGTGTGAGGAAAGACCCCCTGACCTGCCGTGACATTGACATATGGACACTGGTGCTGCAGTACTTCACGCCACATTTAAAGTGAGCTGCAGAGAAGCTGATCATAACAGAGAGGCTCTATCCCCATAATCCATATTCTCCACCACATATCCACACCCAGTTCAACACCAGTCATTTCAGTGTGGGATTAGTGGGCTGGGTAGAAAATCTTAATCTGCTTGAGAGAGAAGAAAAGGAGCAGTGGGAAAGAAAAGCATGCATTCCTGCACATACAAATCCCCTGCAATGCTCGATTGTTTTACCTCTGCTAAAACGACGGGTATCCATTTCCTGCAGCTATCAATCAGAATAAAAGTGGTTTTACGCAGCGCCCTGGCCCCATGCTGTTGCCACTGGCAACAGGACACGCGATTCCCCTTCGCAACTGGCTAATCGGGCTCAGTGCAAATCAGACATCATCCTCTGCACATGTGTATATGAAAAGCGCTGCCTCCTCAGGGGATTTACAGGAAAATTGCGGCTCACGTCAAAGTAAAGACGGCTGAATGAGGTGCAGCCCGAGGAAAAAAAAAAAAATCATTAAGCCTTGTTGAATCAGGCGCCAGCCAAAAGCATTCTTCTGACAACAGAGAAGTATGTCACGTATGAAAAGATATCCTCACACAAAGACAGTGCATATCAATCAACAGAGACTTGCCCTTGCATTTAAAAATGATGCAATCTTTGGGATTCCATATACGCTGATGACTGTCCGCTTCTTACCCTGCTGGAGATGCAGCATCCTGGTGCATTCAGAGGACACGCATGGTAATCCACCAGCACGCTCTCCTCCTGCTCTGCAGCTGCTACCCACTGATCCGGCTGACGATAAAGTTTACATCCACAGCGCAGCACTGCCGGCTCTACACTGCTCCCTGCCTCTTCTACTTGACTGAAACCCAACTACCTCTTTTCTCCTCTCTCTCTCTTTTCTACGTTCCCTCAAGCAATCAAAACCTTTGCCTCCCTCTCCTCTTCTACTCCTCGTTGCTTCTGTCCTCTACTCTCTCCCTGTCTCTCTCAATCTGGCAACATGCGTTGGACTCTCCCGACACTGCTTCCTCTCCCCTTCCCTTCTTCACGCTACATACGCTCTCCCTCTGCACTACGCTTTCTCTCACTAACACACACACACACGCTCGGAGGCTCCTCTTCACAGCGCTGTGTGCCTCCCCCCTGCCCACCCCGCCTCCAGGCTTTATCTATCCTCAGACTGTTCCTCTCCTCAGTCTGTCTCTGCTTCTATCTCTCTCTCTCTCTCTCTCATTCTGTCCAGCACTGGGTCCTCTCTCTAGCTCTCTCTGTGGCTGCGTCCCTCCTCCTCGGGCTTGCGGGACGTTTAACATGTGTTCAGGGAGACGGCTGCCTCTCTGAAGGTGGCTCTTTCCTCAGGGGAGGAGAAGCGAGGAGGTTGGAGTGGGGGTTTTGGACAGAAGGAGGAGGAGTTTTTTGGAGGGTGACAACAGTATCGAGGGGGGTTTAACTACAGCGTGAGCGTGAACAGGCAAGAGGCAGTTGGCTTGTGATGGTCCACTAACTGGACCAGAGATGGAGAGGAAAAAAGACTCTGAAAACAAACTAGACAATGTGTCAACAAAACAGGTCTAAACACTTTTGCATTAAATACATTTGAAATAAGAGGGATAAAACCTGTGAGCATGGTGTCAGACTTAGTGGGACAGGGGATGGAGGTTCTTACATGATGCAACGGTTAGATCCCTCTTCTTGGGAATTGTTGCATAAATTGGCCATGAGTGTTGGATTGGTCATCTCTGGAAAGTTGACAGAAATGATCGGCTCAGCTCCCAACTTCAGTGTTTAGCAGGTGTTGGGAAAAGTGGTTAAAAATACAATTTCGTTTGAAGAATATTTTATAAACCGATCTTTACTTTGCCTGAACGAAGCCAACATTCCCAATCCCCAGAAGTGAGCTTTATCAAATGATTTCTGGTGCACAAATCTGGAAGAATGAACAGCCCATTTTCATCCAGACGAGGACAGAGCTTTTGGAAGACAATGCAAAGAAAGAAAAAGAAGGCACCAAGAAAAGACAGATAGGGACAACCGAGGCAGAGTTCAAGATCAAGGGGGAGCGAAGGAGTGTATCTGAATGCCAGAGAGGGGGAAAAAGGGACTGAGAGAGAATAAGGGAGCAAAGTGCTTGGGTCTGCTTGGGCAGGAGTGACAGTCCAGGCTCCAGCCCATCTGCCGCAATCACAATCAGTCTCAGCTGAATGGCTGTGACAAACTGCAGCCTGGAGCCCGCAACCTCAACCAGGCAGGACGCCTGAGAGGGCTGAGGGAGATGAGAGAGGGGGGGGATGAAGAGGCAGAAAAGAAGGGGAGGGGGGGGGGGATACTCTCTATTGTCTGGTTCCCAATAGGACCAGTGCGAGAGAGGGCGGACACCGGAGGGGTGAAAAGGGGAATTAAAAGGGTCCTGGTGACAGGAGCGCTCAGTTAAAGAGGGGAAAGAAAGGACGGGGCTGACTTAGAGCCAGGGCCATCACTGCCACTTTGCCCCGCATTCACTGTCACTAATGTCCTAAATGAACAATGACACTAACCATGTGAGAAAATTAGTTTGCCTGAGAGTGGAAAAAGGGGGGGGGGACTCAAAGTTGAGATCAACATGAAAGGATGAGTCGTCCCTTGCAGGGTTTGACGGTTGATTATTTCATGCTGGGAAATCTGCCGCCATCCAACTGCGTTCATAAAAAAATTGACATGTCCTGTCATGTTTTCGTTATCAGATGCCTCATGAAAGCTGGCTTTCACGTTCCCATATGTCCTCATAAAACCCAGAAAGATTCATGATGCCTGATTATTGCATTTATGACCAAAATGTCATGCAGAGGGGGGTAATTGTGTTTATCATAAGCACAGCTGCCTCAAAAAAAAAGACATCTGAATACAGAGCGAGCGTGATTTGATTCTAAGAGCAGGTGGTCACCATTGTCCCATTTGGGTAAAAAAGACAAATGGAGGCCTGAGTCAGCAGTAACACTAACATATGCCGCATAATCAAGAAATATTGAGGGCAGTGGTCCATGTTAATTTGATCAAGAGCGAGAGGTGAACTGTTGAGCGATGACTCTTGCGTTTCAAGGCGACCAACGCACAACAGAGTTTGAGAGCAGTGGTTCTTGGTGTCAGAAATAGCAGCACCCTCTTTCCTCCAAGCAGGAAGCAGGCGATGTTTGTTTGTTTAGCTTCACTTTCTTTCACTTTAACTTCTTAATGAGAGTCTTTGTGCGTGGGTGTGTTTACACACAACACATATATGGGTGTATATAGGTTCTTTCAGCCCCAATCAAGCCCATTGTATCTGTAAATACACTGAGTGGTGTGTCTGTATTTGTAATAATAATTTGCCGATAAGTGTGTGAGTGTGTGTGTGTGTGGACCCTGTGTGCCGAGTGATCTGCTGAGCTCATTAAGGCGCTGCTTATTGCTCTGCCAGGGGTGTCAGTGACAGATTCCACTGTTTGGAAACACTCGGCCGCCCACACAGCCAGCCTGGCTCCACCACTGTCACACACACATGCACACACACACACTTAAGCTAGGTTAGCATTCCACAGGGAGGGGTGGGCTGGGGGGGTTAGCAGGGAGACAGGACGGTGCTGGGACAGTGGCCTGGGGGACGGCGGGTCGATACAGATTTTTAAATGGGGTGCAGGGTGGTCTGAGGGAGAGGGATGCCCACGACTGTTATTGGACATGTATGTGTGAGTGCATGATAGTGTGCACACAAAAGGAGTGCAAGCACCTTTGACCAGTGGTGTGTAGTGGTCCAGGTTTAAGGACGGCTGGTGGTTGTGGTATTGCAGTGCTGGAAGGACTATCTGAAGGGGAAAGTAACGATTCAAGACTGAAAAACACTTACAAGCAGGAATCTTGTTACAATCACAACAGTTCAGGGAAATATTCCTTCATGGCTTAAGAAGAATTCATCAGTGTATGATTCAAAGTGGACTTTTTGTTGCATATTTCATCAGAGTTCGGTCTTTGGCTTCAGGCTGTCCGTAAAGTATTGATTCCCAAGAATGCAAAACAGCATTTGCAATTCAAGTCTATTCCAATTAAGCAAATTTTGCAAGCTTTTTCAGATGTTCTGAAATCTTCAACACAGGGCATTGCATATTGTGAAACATCCACTGATGCTACGGACTCACCAGTTAAATACAGGCAAGTGCACATTTTGAGCACAAGAATTTCAAAACTTCAAAAATTTCAAGAGTTCAAGTGATACTCCTTCATGCTTCAAGCTTTTAAACGCAAACTGGACTTATTGGTGCAAAATGCAAAGTCAACATATGCATTTGAAGTCTTGCATTATTTTGGATTGTAGCATGTATTGCAATTTAGCATTTTTTTTAGGAAGTATATTTGCACACAATGTAACAAGGCAATGTGCAGGTTCCTCCAAAAAGGTCATACCAATAGGAGTAAAGTACTTGTAAACATGAATGTGCAAACATCCTCTCAGTGAATTGCCCAGGGTTTCAGCCATCAGCCACACTTTTCGTCCATGACATTAATCCCCTGCAGCTTGATCACAGATGAGTGACCGGGTGGGGGGGGAGGGCCGGGGTGCGTTACTTGAGCTGATTACCCAACCAGCCGATCCTGTCTTCTAGGTGTGTGTTCCGAGACAGGCATTAATCACACAGTGGGGAGAAGAAGACAAACCTTGTTTCCTTCCCGTCCCTCCAGCACCCTATAGTCGATTAGCACGTATGCAGTGTTTAAGCTTACGCTTCTGAGAACAGTCATTTAAAAGTCTGATACGACTGCAGGAAAAGTAACGGGTGTAAAATCATTTGGAAGCAGATCAGAGGTACGATGAGTGGGGAGATCCATGCAGGAGATGTTTAGCTGTCAACATGGCTAGACTCTTTTAGGGAGGGGTAAGGGGAGGGTGGGTCTGCATCAAGACGAGCAAAGGAAATGCCAAGCAGCATGTTTGTTTACCAAACACAGCCTGCTCAGGATCTACACAAACGCCCAGACAGATGCAAATCACATGACAAGTCACGCCGAGCCCCTCCAGAGACTGCGTGTGTGTGTGTGCGCCAGCGAGTGTCCATATGTGTGTCGTTTAACTTCTGTGTGGCAAGATGAAGTACAACGCAAGCTATAATGCACCTCCGTCATGTTTCATTAAGCCGGGGGATGGGGGCGGAACGGTAAGGAACGGGGATGGTGGTCCGGCGAGACTTCATCAGCAGGCGAGTATTTTTTTCCCCCCTCTTTGTGCAACTCAGGAAATGCTCATCAAGACTGGAATGAGCAGGATTAACACTGATGGAGTTAATCTTTAATTAATCTTCAGTTAATCTTAAAGAATTACTTTAACATTCCTCTGGTGATTATGGTAAACAAGTGGGACTATTATACCCCGGCTAATTTCACTGGAATCCCTCTATCTCACACCAGTGGTTCTGTTGGATGTACTTTTCCAAATGAGCACCACATTTTTATCACAAAAGCCCTTTGTTTCCTGTCACAGGGATGTCCTTGATTTGGGACTTTTTTTCCACAAGCGCTTCAATGCTAATGTCGAATAATGTTCCATCCATTTATAGTGCCACAGAGGAACCAAAAGGAAAGAAATGTGACATTATTTTTAATGGTTTTTTAGTGATAAACAGGCTGAAACAAGACAATACACTATATAAAAATGGAGTAAACCCAACAACCACAGTACCTGCGCTGTCTAAAAGTCGATGTTTGAAGAGTAAACTAAGGTTGAAATACCGTATTTTATCACACAATTTATATCATTTACAGAGAGCCAACATGAATCAAACATCAGCACAGCACTTGGCAACATTTAGCAAACAAGCAGTGTTAAGTAAAAACAGACAGAAACCTCGAGCACAACCAGACTCATGCTGGACCGCCATCTGCCTTTTTACAATATCTATGATGTCATGAACCAATGAAATAGCAGTTTATTGAAGTTAAAAGCCAACATACTTTAACATTGCCCAATAACGCAACCAAACAGAAAGTCCATTTCTTGTTAGCTGTCATTTTATATATCCCACTGTGGCGATATGTTGTCTTATATTCTTGAAAAAGAGATTTTTATCAGCACTGATTGAACACCTGATTGTATAAATCATACCCTTTTAAGAATGAAATGTTGTGAATTTCACACATTTTCACCCCTTCCTGTTTCATCAGATAGATAATAGGATGTTGTTCAAAGCGCCCCGAGCTGGAGGTAAATAGCGTGGATGCAACCACCGTGACTTGCACCAGCCTAAACCACACGGGATCTATCAGCAATCCTAACCACACACAGGAGCTATGGCTCGTCTTATCTGCAAGTGAGGGTGTTTTCTGCAGCACACA